TTCTCTTGAATGAAAACCACATGTGACACTTCCTGTTTCAACTTCACAGGAAACACCAGAGACCACAGCAGCAGTAGATCCATAGAGACCACAGTAGACCCATAGAGACCGCAGCAGCAGACCCATAGAGACCGCAGCAGCAGACCCATGGAGACCGCAGCAGTAGACCCATAGAGACCACAGTAGACCCATAGAGACCACAGCAGCAGTAGATCCATAGAGACCACAGTAGACCCATAGAGACCGCAGCAGCAGACCCATAGAGACCGCAGCAGCAGACCCATAGAGACCGCAGCAGCAGACCCATGGAGACCACAGTAGACCCATAGAGACCGCAGCAGCAGACCCATAGAGACCGCAGCAGCAGACCCATAGAGACCGCAGCAGTAGACCCATAGAGACCACAGTAGACCCATAGAGACCGCAGCAGCAGACCCATAGAGACCACAGCAGTAGACCCATAGAGACCACAGCAGTAGACCCATAGAGACCAGAGCAGCAGACCCATAGAGACCACAGCGGTAGACCCATAGAGACCGCAGCAGCAGACCCATAGAGACCACAGCAGTAGACCCATAGAGACCAGAGCAGCAGACCCATAGAGACCACAGCAGTAGACCCATAGAGACCGCAGCAGCAGACCCATAGAGACCACAGCAGTAGACCCATAGAGACCGCAGCAGTAGACCCATAGAGACCACAGCAGCAGACCCATAGAGACCACAGCGGTAGACCCATAGAGACCACAGCAGTAGACCCATAGAGACCACAGCAGTAGACCCATAGAGACCGCAGCAGTAGACCCATAGAGACTACAGCAGTAGACCCATAGAGACCAGAGCAGCAGACCCATAGAGACCACAGCAGTAGACCCATAGAGACCACAGTAGACCCATAGAGACCGCAGCAGCAGACCCATAGAGACCGCAGCAGCAGACCCATAGAGACCACAGTAGACCCATAGAGACCGCAGCAGTAGACCCATAGAGACCACAGCAGTAGACCCATAGAGACCACAGCAGTAGACCCATAGAGACCAGAGCAGCAGACCCATAGAGACCACAGCGGTAGACCCATAGAGACCACAGCAGTAGACCCATAGAGACCACAGCAGTAGACCCATAGAGACCACAGCAGTAGACCAGAGACCACAGCAGTAGACCCATAGAGACCACAGCAGTAGACCCATAGAGACCACAGCAGTAGACCCATAGAGACCACAGCAGTAGACCCATAGAGACCAGAGCAGTAGACCCATAGAGACCACAGCAGTAGACCCATAGAGACCACAGCAGTAGACCCATAGAGACCGCAGCAGCAGACCCATAGAGACCACAGTAGACCCATAGAGACCGCAGCAGTAGACCCATAGAGACCACAGCAGTAGACCCATAGAGACCACAGCAGTAGACCCATAGAGACCAGAGCAGCAGACCCATAGAGACCACAGCGGTAGACCCATAGAGACCACAGCAGTAGACCCATAGAGACCACAGCAGTAGACCCATAGAGACCACAGCAGTAGACCCATAGAGACCAGAGCAGCAGACCCATAGAGACCACAGCGGTAGACCCATAGACACCACAGCAGTAGACCCATAGAGACCGCAGCAGTAGACCCATAGAGACCGCAGCAGTAGACCCATAGAGACCACAGCAGCAGACCCATAGAGACCACAGTAGACCCATAGAGACCACAGCAGCAGACCCATAGAGACCACAGTAGACCCATAGAGACCACAGCAGTAGACCCATAGAGACCAGAGCAGCAGACCCATAGAGACCACAGCAGTAGACCCATAGAGACCACAGTAGACCCATAGAGACTGCAGCAGCAGACCCATAGAGACCGCAGATTCCAGTTCCTAAGAAGTCCCCAGTGACATGTCTCAATGACTACCGCCCTGTGGCTCTCACGTCTGTTCTTATGAAGACTTTTGAGCGGCTCGTGCTGGAGTTTATTAAGAGCCAGATGGATCCCTGTGAGTGTTGACCCGCTCCAGTTTGCTTACAGACAGAACAGGAGTGTGGAGGATGCCATCTCCTTTGCTCTGAACTCTGTCTACACTCATTTGGACACTAGTAAATCTGTCGCGAGAATGCTGTTCATTGATTATAGCTCTGCTTTTAATTGTCTTGTCCCAAGCATATTGGTTGAAAAACTAATGTCCCTTGGTCTGAATGTTGCCATGTGTAAATGGATTTTTAGCTTTTTAACTGACAGATCTCAGAGAGTAAAAATCAATGACTGTTTTTCTGATGTTGTTTCTGTGAGCACTGGTTCTCCTCAGGGATGTATTTTGAGTCCTCTGCTTTTTACTTTGTACACTCACGATTGTGTGTCCTCCTCTGACTCAAATTTGATCATCAAATATGCTGATGACACCACCATCATCGGTCTCATCAGTGACAATGATGATTCCTCTTATAGAGCAGAGATCGAACATGTTTTTCAGTGGAGTAAAGTAAACAATCTCCAGCTGAACACTGCAAAAACATGTGAACTTGTCTTGTAGCAGTTCTCACACTCCTGTTGTTATTGACAACTCCCAGGTGCAGATCGTAGAGGAGTGCAAGTTTCTGGGTTTAACTCTGTCTAATGACCTGAAATGGGTTAAAAACACTGACCGGGTTGTTAAGAAAGCTCGTCAGCGGCTCTTCTTTTTGCGGAAACTTAGAGAATTTACCACTAACTCTAAGATTCTGCTTAACTTTTATCGCTGCACCATTGAGAGTTTACTTGTTGGTTCTGTGTCTGTGTGGTTTGGAAACATCACAGATAAAGAAAAGAGAGCTTTAAACAAGGTGCTCCGCTCTGCAAAGAGGACCGTGGGCTGTGAGCTTCCTGTTCTGGAGGTTCTTTATAAATCCAGACTTTTAAACAAAGCTCTTAAAATCATCAATGACTCTTCTGGCCACCCTGGGAAAGCCATGTTCCAGCTTCTTCCCTCTGGCAGAAGATATCGGTCACTGAGATGCAAGACATCTCGCTATGCTAACAGCTTCTTTCCACAGGCTGTTAGGTGCCTAAACAGAGCACTTTAATTCCTGCTTTTACCCCTTGTATCGTTTTGTTGATCGGTGCCACAGTGTCAGCTGTTTTTTTTAATTATTATTTTATATTCAGTGTATGTGTATTTTATATTACATTGTATCGTGCTTTTATTCTGTCGGTGCACACAGAGTACCTTTTTTTTGCAAATGTATTCCAATGTAGTTTTTATACTGCACATGGCCAATAAATGAATCTGAATCTGAATCTGAGCAGCAGACCCATAGAGACCGCAGCAGTAGACCCATAGAGACCACAGTAGACCCATAGAGACCGCAGCAGTAGACCCATAGAGACCACAGCAGTAGACCCATAGAGACCACAGCAGTAGACCCATAGAGACCAGAGCAGCAGACCCATAGAGACCACAGCGGTAGACCCATAGAGACCACAGCAGTAGACCCATAGAGACCACAGCAGTAGACCCATAGAGACCACAGCAGTAGACCCATAGAGACCACAGCAGTAGACCCATAGAGACCACAGCACTAGACCCAGAGACCTGTCACAGCGGAACAATGATGTCATAGTATTACAGAAGTGAGACAAGAGAAACATGGGGAGACAAGAGAGACAATATATATCTCCTTTACACCTGGAGAGACTAATTATTGTGTGTAAAGCTCTAAGTTCTGCCACGGGGCTAAACACTTCACAGCAGGAAGAGACGGTAAACGAATCCACCTGATGGCCTGCAGCGCATACTTACAAATGACATACAAGGCATCAAGTGTGAAGAGCAAACCCTCTCACACAGAGCCACTGGAAACCTGCTTTAGACTCTCCAGGAGGAAGACTGAGGCTGTAGACCCAGGACTGAGGCTGTAGACCCAGGACTGAGGCTGTAGACCCAGGACTGAGGCTGTAGACCCAGGACTGAGGCTGTAGATCCAGGACTGAGGCTATAGACCCAGGACTGAGGCTGTAGATCCAAGACTGAGGCTGTAGATCCAAGACTGAGGCTGTAGATCCAGGACTGAGGCTGTAGACCCAGGACTGAGGCTGTAGACCCAGGACTGAGGCTGTAGACCCAGGACTGAGGCTGTAGATCCAAGACTGAGGCTGTAGACCCAGGACTGAGGCTGTAGATCCAGGACTGAGGCTGTAGACCCAGGACTGAGGCTGTAGATCCAGGACTGAGGCTGTAGACCCAGGACTGAGGCTGTAGATCCAAGACTGAGGCTGTAGATCCAAGACTGAGGCTGTAGATCCAGGACTGAGGCTGTAGACCCAGGACTGAGGCTGTAGATCCAAGACTGAGGCTGTAGACCCAGGTCTGAGGCTGTAGATTCAGGACTGAGGCTATTTCTTCTGGACTTGGGAACAGTCAGTAAAGTTGCGCTGTCCTCAGGGAGTATACAGCAAAGTCATCCAGAAAACAGGAGGAATGGGCCAGAATCCCAGCCAACTAGATAATCTTTCTGACTCACATGTAAAAAGTAACACAAAATAATGACTAATATAAATAACCTCTGGCACAGACATGTCTCCCCGCTCCTTCTGTCTGAAGCTTTCTTTCCAAACTCGTTACTAATACTGTAAACATTTTAATCATGTCTTTCTCATTTTTGCAGCTGCAGCTTTGGTGAGATTCCTCCCACTGTTCTCTGCCATTTAAGCCTCTAATTAAACTGTCTGTCATCTGTAGGACCAAAGACCAAAGACCAGAGACCAGAGCTGAGACCAAAGCGGAGACCTGAGGGACCAAAGCCAGGACCAAGGACCAGAGAGACCAGTCCGCTTCAGAAGAAACCACGAATTTGGATTAATGCAAACACAACAAAACTAACTGCTGCAGACTCCTCCAAAGACTTCAGTCCTGGTTTGATCTGGACAAGACCTGGATTAAACCTGTTTTGAGACCTGCTTAGACCTTGTTTAGTCCAGATTTAGTCCTGGTTCACTCCTGGTTCAGACCATGTTTGTCCTGTGGTCTCTGGTCGGCCTGATGCTGTGGGTGGACGTGTCCTCACAGAACAAACCTGAAGGTAAGACACTAGTTTGACTGATGTTATTACTGATGATCACAGCACAGTAAACCCAGGACTAGAGAGACCAGAGAGACCAGAGAGAGACCAGAGAGAGACCAGAGAGACCAGAGAGAGACCAGAGAGAGACCAGAGAGAGACCAGAGAGACCAGAGAGAGACCAACAAGAGACCAGAGAGAGACCAGAGGGACCAGAGAGACCAGAGAGACAAGAGAGACCAGAGAGAGACCAGAGAGAGACCAGAGGGACCAGAGAGACCAGAGAGAGACCAGAGAGACCAGAGAGACCAGAGAGAGACCAGAGAGAGACCAGAGAGAGACCAGAGAGACCAGAGAGACAAGAGAGACCAGAAAGAGACCAGAGAGAGACCAGAGACAGACCAGAGAGACCAGAGAGACCAGAGAGAGAACAGGGAGAGGGACTAGAGAGAGACCAGGGAGAGTGCAGAGAGAGGGACCAGAGAGCGGGACCAGAGAGAGACCAGAGAAAGACCAGAGAGAGAGACCAGAGAGAGACCAGAGAGAGGGACCAGAGAGCGGGAGCAGAGAGAGACCAGAGAAAGACCAGAGAGAGAGACCAGAGAGAGACCAGAGAGAGAGACCAGAGAGAGACCAGAGAGAGACCAGAGAGAGAGACCAGAGAGAGACCAAAGAGAGACCAGAGAGAGACCAGAGAGAGACCAGAGAGAGACCAGAGAGAGACCAGAGAGAGAGACCAGAGAGAGACCAAAGAGAGACCAAAGAGAGACCAGAGAGAGACCAGAGAGAGAGCACTTCTTCGCTCAGTGACCCCAGAATCACCTCCAATCCACACTTAGGCCTCCGGGCCCCAACGGTGACAGAGACAGAGAGCCTGTTCACACGCAGGTATCATGAACCTCCTTAAAGCTGAGGTCTGTAACTTTAAAGCTGAGGTCTGTGACTTTCAATCATTTCTTACGCCGTCACAGCACTTTAGGGGAATGACTGCACAAACTCTGCACATCCAGAGACTGATAGTTTGCCCTAGTCGTCTTTATCTTTCTCAGATTAGATGGAGAGCATTTATGACTTTATTCAGCTCTGGCTTCATGTTCATGGTCATAACCCTGAGGGAAGGAAATGAAGGCCTCTGATTGGTCAATCCTTATATGGCTCATATCTGTTTATACAAAAGGTAATATCACAATAGAAACACCAGGAGCACAGAGAGCGATAAACTAGGGATCTTTAAAGCAAACATGGCGAGTGTTACACAGTTACTGAGCAAGAGGAGTTTACTTTTACATGTAAGTCAATAGGAGCAAAACTACACCATGAGCACTTCCCTACTGTGGTTTATTGAGCTAGCGGGTTAGCATTGTCCACCTGTGCACAGTCTCTGCCGTGATGTAGGAGGATCGATAACCTGAAAGTCGGGTTGTGAGACATCGTGATGAATGGATGAGTCTTTCTGAGTCTGTCAGCTGTCGTGTTCAGACAGGTTCAATGAACACAAACAGGCGTGTTCCGTGTGTGTCCGAGATATTCAATGGGAAACACACAAACAGAGACCAGAGACCAGAGAGAGACCAGAAAGAGACCTGAGAGAGAGACCAGAGAGACCTGAGAGAGAGACCATAGAGAGACCAGAGAGAGACAAAGAGAGACCAGAGAGAGACCTGAGAGAGAGACCATAGAGAGACCAGAGAGAGACCAGAGAGACCAGAGAGAGACCAGAGAGAGACCAGAGAGAGAACAGGGAGAGGGACTAGAGAGGGACCAGAGAGAGTGCAGAGAGAGGGACCAGAGAGCGGGACCAGAGAGAGACCAGAGAAAGACCAGAGAGAGACCAGAGAGACCAGAGGGAGAACAGGGAGAGGGACTAGAGAGGGACCAGAGAGAGACCAGGGAGAGACCAGAGAGAAGGACCAGAGAGCGGGACCAGAGAGAGACCAAAGAATGACCAGAGAGAGACCAGAGAGAGAGACCAGAGAGAGACCAGAGAGAGACCACAGATAGTCCAGAGAGAGAGAGACCAGAGAGAGACCACAGATAGTCCAGAGAGAGAGAGACCAGAGAGAGACCAGAGAGATACCAAGGAGACACCAGAGAGACCAGAGAGAGAACGGGGAGAGGGACTAGAGAGGGACCAGAGAGAGACCAGGGAGAGACCAGAGAAAGACCAGAGAGAGACCAGAGAGAGAGACCAGAGAAAGACCAGAGAGAGAACAGGGAGAGGGACTAGGGAGAGACCAGGGAGAGACCAAAGAGACCAGAGAGAGACCAGGGAGAGACCAAAGAGAGGGACCAGAGAGAGAGACCAGAGAGAGACCAGAGAGAGAGCACTTCTTCGCTCAGTGACCCCAGAATCACCTCCAATCCACACTTAGGCCTCCGGGCCTCCTACGGTGACAGAGACAGAGAGCCTGTTCACACGCAGGTATCATGAACCTCCTTAAAGCTGAGGTCTGTAACTTTAAAGCTGAGGTCTGTGACTTTAAAGCTGGGGTCTGTGACTTTAAAGCTGGGGTCTGTGACTTTAAAGCTGGGGTCTGTGACTTTAAAGCTGGGGTCTGTGACTTTAAAGCTGGGGTCTGTGACTTTAAAGCTGGGGTCTGTGACTTTAAAGCTGGGGTCTGTGACTTTAAAGCTGGGGTCTGTGACTTTAAAGTTGGAGTCTGTAACCCTCAGACCAAGCTCAGAGAAGTATCCAGAGACGTGTGTGACGCAGCAGAGGGTTCGTTTGAAGGCTTTATTAAACTACACAGATGTGTCAATCATTTCTTACGCCGTCACAGCACTTTAGGGGAATGACTGCACAAGCTCTGCACATCCAGAGACTGATAGTTTGCCCTAGTCGTCTTTATCTTTCTCAGATTAGATGGAGAGCATTTATGACTTTATTCAGCTCTGGCTTCATGTTCATGGTCATAAACCTGAGGGAAGGAAATGAAGGCCTCTGATTGGTCAATCCTTATATGGCTCATATCTGTTTATACAAAAGGTAATATCACAATAGAAACACCAGGAGCACAGAGAGCGATAAACTAGGGATCTTTAAAGCAAACATGGCGAGTGTTACACAGTTACTGAGCAAGAGGAGTTTACTTTTACATGTAAGTCAATAGGAGCAAAACTACACCATGAGCACTTCCCTACTGTGGTTTATTGAGCTAGCGGGTTAGCATTGTCCACCTGTGCACAGTCTCTGCCGTGATGTAGGAGGATCGATAACCTGAAAGTCGGGTTGTGAGACATCGTGATGAATGGATGAGTCTTTCTGAGTCTGTCAGCTGTCGTGTTCAGACAGGTTCAATGAACACAAACAGGCGTGTTCCGTGTGTGTCCGAGATATTCAATGGGCAGTGTTGTGTGTGAACGATTTCAAAAGAACGCGTTCATTGAACACGCTCGATTTTTTCGTGAACGTTGAACTGAACGCAACACATTTTAAAAAAAAGAACTTGAACGTGAATTAGTTCATTTTATGTGTCATGAACGGCAGACATCACTATGAACGTTGGAATCTGTTTTCTCTTTTGAAACGCAACGAGAGAAAGTTCTTCCCTCCTGTATTCTCGCACGTTTTCCGCCGAAATATAAAAATTCCTACGGTTTCCAGCGTCTGTGAACGCACCCCGACTCTGTGTTGTGGTGCAGCGCTGTGAGCTGGTGCTTTTCACATGTGCCCGAGTCGTGATGAAAACACAGGGTGAGTTAGCGACAAAGTTTACACCTGAACTGTTTTGCTCCCATTTAAAACCATGTAAATCTGGTCTGTTTTGTAGTCAAAAGGCTCTCCTCCTGTGGGTGTACAGGAGATATATACATATATATATATATATATATATATATATATATATATATATATATATATATAGCTCAGACATAGTGTGAAAAAATATTTATTTAAGTATCTCACGAAAAAGTAAAATGAACTGAACTTTGAACTAGTTCAGAATTAAAAATGTGAACTTTGAATGTGAACTGTTCATTTTGAGCATGTATGAACTGAACTTGAACTAGTTCAGAAAAGCTGTGAACTAGCACAACACTGTCAATGGGAAACACACAAACAGAGACCAGAGAGAGACCAGAAAGAGACCTGAGAGAGAGACCATAGAGAGACCAGAGAGAGACAAAGAGAGACCAGAGAAAAATCAAAGAGAGACCTGAGAGAGAGACAAAGAGAGACCAGAGAGAAATCAGAGAGAGACCTGAGAGAGAGACCAGAGAGAGACCAGAGAAAGACCAGAGAGAGACTAAGAGAAATCAGAGAGAGACCAGAGAGAGACAAAGAGAGACCTGAGAGAGAGACCATAGAGAGACCAGAGAGAGACCTGAGAGAGAGACCATAGAGAGACCAGAGAGAAATCAGAGAGAGACCTGAGAGAGAGACAAAGAGAGAACAGAGAGAGACCAGAGAGAGAGACCCGAGAGAAAGACCAGAGAGACAAGAGAGAGAGACAAGAGAGAGAGACCAGAGAGAGACCCGAGAGAGAGACCCGAGAGAGAGACCCGAGAGAGAGACCCGAGAGAGAGACCAGAGAGAGACCAGAAAGAGAGACCAGAGCGTGGTCTGGTCCGTACTTTTAATGACTTAAAAGTCTTTAGGTCACATTTCTTGGACCTGTTTCTATGGATATTTGTTTTAGATATGTTTAAAACCTTCAGTACTCTTCACATGTGTCTCTGGTCCCTCTGTGACCCTCCAGGCTGAAACAGGAGCTGGTGTCTCCTAGAGTCTGGACCCAGCACAAAGGTGTCTCTGTGTAAGCTGAAGCTGCAGTAAGTGTCAGGCTCAGAGGAACAAAGGCAGAGGGCAGTTCACAGCACAGGCTCAGGCCACTGGAAATGCAAGATTTTACACCTGCAAAAAGTGTACCTGTGGTTTCTCTCACCAATACAGGGTTTTTAAGGGATCTCTGGCGCCCTCTGGTGTGTAATCTATGAAATAACAAAGAGACAGACCTTAAAGTTGCCATATTTAGCTTTTCTTCATGTTCCACAGTACATCCTCAGCACATGTGTGATAATAATTTGGGTGATACACAACACTCAAAACTCCTCTGTCTGTGAGCCGCCTACCCCCGCCCTCACCCGCCTCCCCCCGTCCTCCCTCACCACTTATATTACTGCTGTATTTTATTTTATGATACATTCTGTTGTGTCCTCAGAGCTCCATGTGTCGTGTCTGGTGGGCCGGCTCTGCGTCCTCCCCTGCACACTCCCCTCCTCTGCTCTACAGTGCCTCCAGTGGTTCAAACAGGACTCTCTGATCCTGAACCTGAGCTCAGAGCTGCAGCCTCAGCCCGCACCCTCCGACCCGCTCTCCGGCCGGGCCACGCTGTCCCGTGCAGACCTCTCCAGGGGAAACGCCTCTCTGCTGGTGAGAGACAGCGCCCCCAGAGATCGGGGGCGGTACCGGTGCAGGGTGAAGACGGCGGCCGGAGACCAGGACCAGGACGTGATTGTCAAGGTGCAAGGTGAGGGACTTTCAGGTGGACCGAGGGGAAGAGACTAGGGGGAGAAACCAGAGAGAGACCAGAGAGAAACTAGAGAGAGAGACCAGAGACAGACCAGGGGGAGAAAAGAGAGAAACCAGAGAGAGAGAGAGACCAGAGAGAAACCAGAAAGAGACCAGAGACCAGAGAGAGAGACCAGAGACAGAGACCAGAGAGAGAGACCTGAGATAGAGACCAGAGAGAGAGACCAGAGAGAGAGACCATAGAGAGAGACCATAGAGAGATAAGATAAGATAGACTTTATTGATCTCACACTGGACAAATGTACATGTCACATCTGGCATGGACAGAAACACTCAAGATTGTGCAAAAGAAAGAAATATGCAACATGTTAAATGCAGGATATATTATATACAATAAAAAGTGATAATCAAGAAACAGTGTCAATAGTAGTGCAGGTTTTTCAGTCTTAATGCAAGTGACTTAAAGTGACTTGTTGTACAGTCTGACAGCAGTGGGGATGAAGGCCCTGCGGGAGCGCTCGTTCTTCCACTGAAGGAGCTCCTCAGCTCCTCTACAGTCCTGTGCAGTGGGAGGTGTTGTCCATGATGAAGGTGACTTTGACTAGCACCTCCTGTCCCTCACCTCCTGCACAGAGTCCAGGGGCCTCCTGTCACTCACCTCCTCCACAGAGTCCAGGGGCCTCCTGTCCCTCGCCTCCTCCACAGAGTCCAGGGGCCTCTTGTCCCTCACCTCCTGCACAGAGTCCAGGGGCCTCCTGTCCCTCGCCTCCTCCACAGAGTCCAGGGGCCTCCTGTCCCTCACCTCCTGCACAGAGTCCAGGGGCCTCCTGTCCCTCACCTCCTCCACAGAGTCCAGGGGCCTCCTGTCCCTCACCTCCTCCACAGAGTCCAGGGGCTCCTGTCCCTCACCTCCTCCACAGAGTCCAGGGGCCAGCCCAGAGTGGAGCTGGCCCTCCTGACCAGCTTGTTCAGTCTGCTCCTGTCCCGCTCTGTGCTGCCCGGGGCCCAGCACACGGCAGCGTAGTAAATGGCAGAAGCTACCACAGAGTCATAAAAAGTCCTGAGCAGAGGCCTGCTCACTCCAACGGACCTCAGCCTCCTCAGAAGGACCTCAGCCTCCTCAGAAGGACCTCTGCCTCCTCAGAAGGACCTCAGCCTCCTCAGAAGGACCTCTGCCTCCTCAGAAGGACCTCAGCCTCCTCAGAAGGACCTCAGCCTCCTCAGAAGGACCTCAGCCCCCTCAGAAGGACCTCAGCCTCCTCAGAAGGACCTCAGCCTCCTCAGAAGGACCTCTGCCTCCTCAGAAGGACCTCAGCCTCCTCAGAAGGACCTCTGCCTCCTCAGAAGGACCTCAGCCTCCTCAGAAGGACCTCAGCCTCCTCAGAAGGACCTCAGCCTCCTCAGAAGGACCTCAGCCTCCTCAGAAGGACCTCAGCCTCCTCAGAAGGACCTCAGCCTCCTCAGAAGGACCTCTGCCTCCTCAGAAGGACCTCAGCCTCCTCAGAAGGACCTCAGCCTCCTCAGAAGGACCTCTGCCTCCTCAGAAGGACCTCAGCCTCCTCAGAAGAAAGAGGCGACTTTGGCCCTTCTTGTGCAGGGCGTTGGTATTATGGACCAGTCCAGTTTATTGTTAATGTGAACACCCAGGTACTTGAAGCTGTCACCAGCTCAATGTCCTCCCCCTGGATGTTCAGCAGCGTGTGGGAAAGTGGTTTTCTCCTGAAGTCGATGATCATCTCCTTGGTCTTACTGATGTTAGCACAGGTACAATCTCCTTGGTCTTACTGATGTTAGCACAGGTACCATCTCCTTGTCTTACTGGTGTTAGCACAGGTACCATCTTCTTGTCTTACTGGTGTTAGCACAGGTACCATCTCCTTGGTCTTACTGATGTTAGCACAGGTACCATCTCCTTGTCTTACTGTTGTTAGCACAGGTACCATCTCCTTGTCTTACTGGTGTTCAAGCACAAGTGGTTGCGCTCACAGCAGTCGACAAAGTCCTTGATAACCGACCGATATTCCAGTTGGTTCCCCTCAGACACACAGCCCACGATGGCGGAGTCGTGGGAGAACTTCTGCAGGTGACAGCTGTGTGTGTCGTGTGTGAAGTCTGAGGTGTAGATGGTGAAGAGAAACGGTGAGAGGACAGGGCCCTGAGGGGCCCTGAGGGGCCCCAGTGCTGCAGACTACCACCTCAGACTCACAGCTGCAGCCGCACGTACTGTGGTCGGTCTGAGAGGTAGTTGATGGTCCATGCAGTGAGGTAGTTGATGGTCCATGCAGTGAGGTAGTTGATGGTCCATGCAGTGAGGTAGTTGATGGTCCATGCAGTGAGGTAGTTGATGGTCCATGCAGAGAGGTAGTTGATGGTCCATGCAGTGAGGTAGTTGATGGTCCATGCAGTGAGGTAGTTGATGGTCCATGCAGTGAGGTAGTTGATGGTCCATGCAGTGAGGTAGTTGATGGTCCATGCTGTGAGGTAGTTGATGGTCCATGCTGTGAGGTAGTTGATGGTCCATGCAGTGAGGTAGTTGATGGTCCATGCAGTGAGGTAGTTGATGGTCCATGCTGTGAGGTAGTTGATGGTCCATGCAGTGAGGTAGTTGATGGTCCATGCAGAGAGGTAGTTGATGGTCCATGCTGTGAGGTAGTTGATGGTCCATGCAGTGAGGTAGTTGATGGTCCATGCAGTGAGGTAGTCGATGGTCCATGCAGTGAGGTAGTTGATGGTCCATGCTGTGAGGCTACTGTCCACTCCTGGTCCTCCATCTTCCCCTGCAGCAGTGCCGGTCTGATGGTGTTGAAAGCACTGGAGAAGTCAAAAAACATGACCCTCACAGCGCCCCCTGCAGGCTCCAGGTGGGAGAGCATCCGCTGCAGGAAGTAGACCAAGGAGCGGAGATGGGTGAGGATGAGCCGCTCCATGGTCTTCACCAGGTGGGAGGTCAGTGTTACCAGAGAGAGAGACCAGAGCAAGAGACCAGAGAGAGAGACCAGAGAGAGACCAGAAAGCGAGACCAGAGAGAGACCAGAGAGTCTCGTCCGTAAGTGCAGACCAGTCTCGTGAGCAGTGAGTTTGTACAGAATGCTTTTTTACAAATGTGTTGGATACATGTTTGAGAAACAACATGCTAACGTGCTCTGGTGTGGACATGCTAACGTGCTCTGGTGTGGACATGCTAACGTGCTCTGGTGTGGACATGCTAACGTGCTCTGGTGTGGACATGCTAACGTGCTCTGGTGTGGACATGCTAACGTGCTCTGGTGTGGACATGCTAACGCTTTCTCCTCTCCACAGCTCCGATCCGCTCCCTCTCCGTGGAGCTGTCTCGTCTCAGTGGGTATGAGGAGGTGAAATGCTCTGTGCGTCACGTGTTCCCGCCCCCTCGGGTCACATGGTCCACGGAGCCCCCCACCTTCCAGGACCTGCGGCCCCTGACCAGGAAGCAGCTGGAGGACTCGGGTCTGTATGCCGTGGAGAGCCGGCTGCGCACCATGGGCCAGGGGGAGCGCGTCTACGTCTGCACCGCCACCAGTCCTTATGGAGGAGAGAGCTGGAGCGCCTCCTACAGGCACAGAGGTACAGGACCTTGTGGAGAGAGACCAGAGACTAAAGAGAGACTAGAGAGACCAGAGAGAGGCCGGAGAGAGAGACTAAAGAGAGACAAGATAGAGACTAGAGAGACCAGAGAGAGAGACAAGAGACTCCAGAGAGACCAGAGAGAGAGAGACTAAAGAGAGACTGGAGAGACCAGAGAGAGACCAGAGAGAGACAAGAGACCCCAGAGAGACTAAAGAGAGACCAGAGAGAGAGACTAAAGAGAGACTAGAGAGACCAGAGAGAGAGAGACTAAAGAGAGACTGGAGAGACCAGAGAGAGAGACAAGAGACCCCAGAGAGACCAGAGAGAGAGACTAAAGAGAGACCAGAGAGAGAGACTAAAGAGAGACACTAGAGAGATCAGAGAGAGAGACAAGAGACCTCAGAGAGACCAGAGAACAACTAAGGAGAGACCAGAGACTAAAAAGACAAAAGAGAGGGACCAGAGAGAGGCCAAAAACCAATGACAGACTAGAGAGAGACCAGAGACTAGAGAGACCAGTCTTCAGTCCAGTCTGTCGCTAACCCTGGTTTCTCTCACTCTGACGCTAACCCTGGTTTCTCTCACTCTGACGCTAACCCTGGTTTCTCTCACTCTGTCGCTAACCCTGGTTTCTCTCACTCTGTCGCTAACCCTGGTTTCTCTCACTCTGTCGCTAACCCTGGTTTCTCTCACTCTGTCGCTAACCCTGGTTTCTCTCACTCTGTCGCTAACCCTGGTTTCTCTCACAGACGTACGAGGAGTGGAAGGAGCAGACCTCACCCTCCCCTGCTTTTCGCCCTCCTTCCTGAACGCCCGCACTCTCTCCTGGACCTTCTCTCACAGCAACTCCTCCTCACACATCCTGACCTACCGCGTGGACTCGGGTGAGGCCACGTCTGCCCCGGAGTGGAGCGGACACGCCGAGCTGGACGGGTACCGGGTCCAGCTCGGGGACGGCTCTCTGCGTCTGATGGACACGAGCGAGAAGCACACGGGACGCTACTCCTGCGTCTTCTCCAGCGATCGCAACAGCCACACTGAGAGGCTGGAGGTGACTGTCACGGGGACAGGTGAGACCAGAGGGAGACCAGAGACCAGAGAGAGACCAGAGAGAGACCAGAGGGAGACCAGAGACCAGAGAGAGACCAGAGGGAGACCAGAGAGAGACCAGCGGGAGACCAGCGGGAGACCAGCGGGAGACCAGCGGGAGACCAGCGGGAGACCAGCGGAAGACCAGAGACCAGAGAGAGACCAGCGGGAGACCAGCGGGAGACCAGCGGAAGACCAGAGACCAGAGAGAGACCAGAGAGAGACCAGAGAGAGACCAGAGAGAGACCAGAGAGAGACCAGAGGGAGACCAGAGAGAGACCAGAGGGAGACCAGAGGGAGACCAGAGGGAGATCAGAGAGAGACCAGAGAGAGACCAGAGAGAGACCAGAGAGAGACCAGAGAGAGACCAGAGAGAGACCAGAGAGAGACCAGAGAGAGACCAGAGAGAACCCAGAGAGAGACCAGAGAGAGACCAGAGAGAGACCAGAGAGAGACCAAAGAGAAACCAGAAAGAGAAACCAGAAAGAGACCAGAGAGAGACCACAATGAGAGCATAGTTTATAGGTGTGACAAAGAAGATGTGGGACTTTGTGACAGACTAACAGTAGAATATGAGTTTGGACTGTTTCTGTAGTTACCAGGACTGCACATGGTCCTCATGGTTCTCATTTCTCTGTGGTTCCAGGGAAGCACAGTTCCCCAGAGCAGCCCTCGTACTGGTGGCTGGTGGGGCTCCTGGTGGGGCTCCTGGTGCTGACCCTGGTGGTCCTGTTAGTGTACAACAAGATCAGAGGTAACTGTGTGTGCGTGTGCGTGTGCGTGTGTGTGTGTGTGTGCGCGCGTGTGGGTGTGTGTGTGTGTGCGAGTGTGTGTGTGTGTGTGCGTGTGTGTGATAATGACAGTTGTGTGTTGCAGGAGGATTGTCAAAGCCCAAGTCTGACGCAGAGGAGGCTACAGAGCTGCATCCTGTCAAAGGTGAGTGTGATACCAGCTCTCAGCATCAGAGGGAGACAGAGGGGAGGGAGAGGGGAGGAGGAGGGGAGGAGGAGACAGAGGGGAGGGAGAGGGGAGGAGGAGGGGAGGAGGAGACAGAGGGGAGGGAGAGGGGAGGAGGAGGGGAGGAGGAGACAGAGGGGATAGAGAGGGGAGAGAGGGTAGAGAAAGGAGAGCGAGAGGGGAGCGAGGGGAGAGAGAGGAGACAGAGGGGAGAGAGGGGAGAGAGAGGAGACAGAGGGGAGAGAGGGGAGAGAAAGGAGACAGAGGGGAGAGAGGGGAGAGAGAGGAGACAGAGGGGAGAGAGAAGAGACAGAGGGGAGAGAGGGGAGAGAGAAGAGACAGAGGGAAGAGGGAAGAGACAGAGGGGATACAGAGGGGAGAGAGAGGAGACAGAGGGGAGAGAGAAGAGACAGAGGGGAGAGAGAGGAGACAGAGGGGAGAGAGAGGAGACAGAGGGGAGAGAGAAGAGACAGAGGGGATAGAGAGGAGACAGAGGGGAGAGAGAGGAGACAGAGGGGAGAGAGAGGAGACAGAGGGGAGAGAGAGGAGACAGAGGGGAGAGAGAGGAGACAGAGGGGAGAGAGAGGAGACAGAGGGGAGAGAGAGGAGACAGAGGGGAGAGAGAGGAGACAGAGGGGAGAGAGAGGAGACAGAGGGGAGAGAGAGGAGACAGAGGGGAGAGAGAGGAGACAGAGGGGAGCGAGAGGAGACAGAGGGGAGAGAGAGGAGACAGAGGGGAGAGAGAGGAGACATTGCATGTCTATATATATGTGTGTGTGTGTTATGTGTGAGTAGGATTGGTGGTCTTCTGTCAGTCTGCCCCAGGGCAGCTGTGGCTCTAACATACAGTGGGTGTTGTTAGTTCTGTCTGTCTGCCCCAGGGCAGCTGTGACTCTAACATACAGTTGTAACAGTCCTGTTGTTTTGTTGCAGGCGCAGACAGCACGCCGTCCACCGGGGGCAGTAACGAGCCGTCCACACTCTCATGATCACAGACATTAAAGACTACTATCACACAGCTCTAAGAGCCAATATCTACAGGAGCCAGGGCCCGCCCCTTCTGCCAACAAGCCCTGTTCTCAAACTCACCACAACCCCCTGGACACCGCTGTTGCCTAGTTAAAGCTCAGTGACCTAACTTTTTTGTGTCATAAATAACATGTTTAGCACAGATCACAACATACATTGGAAAACATGATATATCTGTGTCAGAAAGACCCCAGTGAGTCACTATCTGACTCTGTGGGCTGAGAGCTGATTGGCTGAGAGAGGGTGGTCCTCTCTGTTTCACTTTTCTGTCTGTAAAGATGTGACAGAGACAGAAACACATGAAAACTACTGAAACCACTGTTTTAGATCCAGAGAGTTCTTCTGGAAAGTTACGTACTGTAGCTTTAAAGTTACGTACTGTAGCTTTAAAGTTACGTACCACAGCTTTAAAGTGCAGCTCATGTTCTGATGGGTGCTTCCTTTAAATAGTTATAAATATATTTCACTTTTCAGACAAAGAAGCTCAATGAATAGGGAAGTGCTCATGGATGAAGTTTTTCTCCCTCTGGCTCTTTTTGACTCACTACTCTGTCTCACCAGTTAGCGCTCTCTGGTCTGAGGATTGACCAATCAGATGTCTTCATTCTCACAGGACACTCCAGCTCGTAACGGTCTATTACGAAGCAAAGCCATCAGAACCAACGCCCATATAAGGAAACTGCCTCTACTGTGATGTCACACTGTGGTGATGTCACACCGGGAACAATAATATTGTGATGTTTTGAAGTTTTCCACATTTTAGTTATATACTGTATATATATATATTTATTAACGGCTTATTAACCGAGCGCGAGGTCTGTACAGACCGAGAAAGCAAGGTTGATAAATGTTTTATTAAATGACTCTCGTCTGTGTCTTTACCAATGCTTTTGAGATATTTGTGAAGTATGTTCATGTCCGACTTGGTTTTGTATGATACGCGCTGCGGACAATCAGAGCGCGCGTACGGTCCAAGTCATATAATAAAGTTATATATTGAACAGTAGATTGTGTGTGTCACTACATTAAAGGACGTCTGTCTGTAACTGATGCAGGTCTTTATACACACACCTTCAGCCAGTCATGAAACCAAAGAGTCCTGGTCTGTGGTCCTCGTCTGTGGTCCTGGTCTGTGGTCCAGGTCTGTGGTCCAGGTCTGTGGTCCAGGTCTGTGGTCCAGGTCTGTGGTCCTGGTCTGTGGTCCAGGTCTGAGGTCTGTGTGTATATTTGAAACCAGAGCTGCTTCTAAATATGGACTCTAAGAAAACACCTCGAGCTGATCTCTGATTGGCTGATGATGCTCCTCCCTCAGTCATGAGTGTTGGACCTCAGCTTTAAAGTGGAAGTGCAGTTGAAGATGTCGGAGCGAACACCGGCTCTCCTGCTGCTCCTGCTGGTCCTGCTGGTTGTGTGGTCGCGGCTCACAGGTACGACAGCTCTGGCTCTAAATCCTCTCATTATTATTAGTCTCAGGTCTGCACTCTGATCATTCTTTTTACTTTCACTCTTGCCTTCGAGTATGTTTTCAAAAACAGAAAAGTGACAAAAGAAAATACTATACTATAAAATACTAAATTCCTATCTTTAAAACCACAAAACAAGTACTGTTTGAATAAGTATAAGACGTCTGCTGTTTATATTTAACACAGTTAACTATCAACACGTATCCTTTAATCATTAACACGTCTCCTTTAATCATTTTTCTTAAATCAGTTTGAAGTAAGAAAGTAAAGTATGTCACTTGAGTGAATAAGTGTCCGGAGGGAGAAGTCGTTCCCAGGGCTGTTCTCCACAGACACAGAAGAAGAACTCAGCAGGAGCTTCAGGGACCAAATCTAGGATGAGAACGGTTCTCAATAGGGAAGTGCTCATGGACGGAGTTTGGCTCCAACTCACTCTGGCTCCCATTGACTCACAAACTCCAAGCTCAGTAACTGTTAAATCTGTGGTTTAGTGCTTTCTCTCTGGTCTTAGCAACACTGTTTCAGCTAATGTTCTTCTGTTTTAAGGCTGGTGATGTCACACGAGGTCAGTCCACTCCTAATATACGCTCTATGACACAAATGACTCCCCACAACTCTGGCCTTTATGGACGAGCAGTGAATATAAAAGTGTTGAAATAAAGATGAACAGCGGAAGACCCAAAAGGTTCCAATCCCACACTGCTGTGGTCAGACCCAAAAGGTTCCAATCCCACACTGCTGTGGTCAGACCCAAAAGGTTCCAATCCCACACTGCTGTGGTCAGACCCAAAAGGTTCCAATCCCACACTGCTGTGGTCAGACCCAAAAGGTTCCAAACCCTCACAGCTCATCACAGTTGAAAGTGAAATAATTTCAGAGAACAGGTTCTACGTTACTAAGTATGAGAGGAATGTGCGACTGGTTTGACGAGAACTCAGACTGGAACTGTGCCAGGAGACGCTCCACAAACCTCTGGAGTTACAAAGTCCATCTGATCAGACTTAGGGCCGTTCAGACCGATGTCCTTCACCCGGTTCTGACTCAAGACTTTTCATTGACTTGACGTCCGTTCGAGCGTGGAACTGCATCTGTAGAGGCGCACGGACTGTAGAGGATCAGCACTAGATCATATACGGAATCGGGACAAAAACAGAAATAACAATCCTACTTTCGAATTAGTTTTAGACTAATATGTCCTTAAGTGGAGACTGGTTAAGTTTTAGGTGTCTGAGTAAGATGGTTAAGGTTAGGGTTAAGGTGGTCTGAGTAAGATGGTTAAGGTTAGGGTTAAGGTAGTCTGAGTAAGATGGTTAAGGTGGTCTGAGTAAGATGGTTAAGGTTAGGGTTAAGGTAGTCTGAGTAAGATGGTTAAGGTGGTCTGAGTAAGATGGTTAAGGTTAGGGTTAAGGTGGTCTGAGTAAGATGGTTAAGGTTAGGGTTAAGGTGGTCTGAGTAAGATGGTTAAGGTTAGGGTTAAGGTGGTCTGAGTAAGATGGTTAAGGTTAGGGTTAACGTGGTCTGAGTAAGATGGTTAAGGTTAGGGTTAAGGTGGTCTGAGTAAGATGGTTAAGGTTAGGGTTAAGGTGGTCTGAGTAAGATGGTTAAGGTTCGGGTTAAGGTGGTCTGAGTAAGATGGTTAAGGTTAGGGTTAAGGTGGTCTGAGTAAGATGGTTAAGGTTAGGGTTAAGGTGGTCTGAGTAAGATGGTTAAGGTTAGGGTTAAGGTGGTCTGAGTAAGATGGTTAAGGTTCAGTTTAAGGTGGTCTGAGTAAGATGGTTAAGGTTAGGGTTAAGGTGGTCTGAGTAAGATGGTCGAGGTTAGGGTTAAAGTGGTCTGAGTAAGATGGTTAAGGTTAGGGTTAAGGTGGTCTGAGTAAGATGGTTAAGGTTAGTGTTAAGGTGGGTCTGAGTAAGATGGTTAAGGTTAGGGTTAAGGTGGTCTGAGTAAGATGGTTAAGGTTAAGGTGGTCTGAGTAAGATGGTTAAGGTTAGGGTTAAGGTGGGTCTGAGTAAGATGGTTAAGGTTAGGGTTAAGGTGGTCTGAGTAAGATGGTCGAGGTTAGGGTTAAGGTGGTCTGAGTAAGATGGTTATGGTTAGGGTTAAGGTGGTCTGAGTAAAGCCTAGAGTATACTTGCGCGGCGTGGCTTACGTTAGCGGTTGCGGTGGACCTACGTAAGCACAATTGATGTTATACTGGCGCGTTCCCCTTACGGAGTTTTGAGGAGAATGTTGTAATCCCACAACAAACCACATGAGGGCGATCACACAGGAGCGGTCCCATTTACGCTGCTACTTTGTCCTCTTCAGAACAACAATAGCAAACAAAGCTGTTTGAGCTCATTACACGTGTTTCTACTGTAGGTTTATGTGAGAGTTTTATGGATTCATTATTTTATAAGTAATTTCAACTGTGATGCTGTGAATAAAGACACAGTTCTTGTTGGGAACATAGTTATTATTAAATAGTTTTCAGCACAAACAGCAAAACAATAATAGTGGTAAATATCTGAGACAAACATGAACGATTTACGAGTGCAGGAGGAAAGCAACAAACGCAGCTACGATTCAAACAAGACAGGAACAGTGCAAAACAAACGACTGCACAGTTTATAAGTTATATATATGTTAGATATAAGTTAGATATATGTTATATATATGTTAGATAGTCCACAGTCTCCTGTATATCAGGCTCTGAGCCCAAACTGCTTTTCCTTCGAAGCACAAAGCTCTCTGCTCCATAGTGCCTCGTCCATGTCCCTGCTGCAGCCGCTCCGTGCTACCTTCCAATACACACACACGGACCAATCACAGCGGAGATTCCTTGCGGTGAACCTTACGTAGTTAGAAAATTTCGATGCTGCAGGAGAGGCAACGTAAGGGCCTTGCGGTGACCAACGCGTTGCGCAAGTGACGTCACGTCACCTCCGTAAGCTCCGCGCCGCGCGAGTATAAACTAGGCTTAAGATGGTTAAGGTTAGGGTTAAGGTGGGTCTGAGTAAGATGGTTAAGGTTAGGGTTAAGGTGGGTCTGAGTAAGATGGTTAAGGTTAGGGTTAAGGTGGGTCTGAGTAAGATGGTTAAGGTTAGGGTTAAGGTGGTCTGAGTAAGATGGTTAAGGTTAGGGTTAAGGGGGGGTCTGAGTAAGATGGTTAAGGTTAGGGTTAAGGTGGTCTGAGTAAGATGGTTAAGGTTAGTGTTAAGGTGGGTCTGAGTAAGATGGTTAAGGTTAGTGTTAAGGTGGTCTGAGTAAGATGGTTAAGGTTAAGGTGGTCTGAGTAAGATGGTTAAGGTTAGGGTTAAGGTGGGTCTGAGTAAGATGGTTAAGGTTAGGGTTAAGGTGGTCTGAGTAAGGTGGTCTGAGTAAGATGGTTAAGGTTAGTGTTAAGGTGGGTCTGAGTAAGATGGTCGAGGTTAGGGTTAAAGTGGTCTGAGTAAGATGGTTAAGGTTAGGGTTAAGGTGGTCTGAGTAAGATGGTTAAGGTTAAGGTGGTCTGAGTAAGATGGTTAAGGTTAGGGTTAAGGTGGGTCTGAGTAAGATGGTCGAGGTTAGGGTTAAAGTGGTCTGAGTAAGATGGTTAAGGTTAGGGTTAAGGTGGTCTGAGTAAGATGGTTAAGGTTAAGGTGGTCTGAGTAAGATGGTTAAGGTTAGGGTTAAGGTGGTCTGAGTAAGATGGTCGAGGTTAGGGTTAAAGTGGTCTGAGTAAGATGGTTAAGGTGGTCTGAGTAAGATGGTTAAGGTTAGGGTTAAGGTGGGTCTGAGTAAGATGGTTAAGGTTAGGGTTAAGGTGGTCTGAGTAAGATGGTTAAGGTTAGGCTTAAGGTGGTCTGAGTAAGATGGTTAAGGTTAGGGTTAAGGTGGTCTGAGTAAGATGGTTAAGGTTAGGGTTAAGGTGGTCTGAGTAAGATGGTTAAGGTTAGGGTTAAGGTGGTCTGAGTAAGATGGTTAAGGTTAGGGTTAAGGGGGGGTCTGAGTAAGATGGTTAAGGTTAGGGTTAAGGTGGGTCTGAGTAAGATGGTTAAGGTGGTCTGAGTAAGATGGTTAAGGTTAGGGTTAAGGTGGTCTGAGTAAGATGGTTAAGGTTAGGGTTAAGGTGGTCTGAGTAAGATGGTTAAGGTTAGGGTTAAGGTGGTCTGAGTAAGATGGTTAAGGTGGTCTGAGTAAGATGGTTAAGGTTAGGGTTAAGGTGGTCTGAGTAAGATGGTTAAGGTTAGGTTTAAGGTGGTCTGAGTAAGATGGTTAAGGTTAGGGTTATGGTGGGCTGGGGTTATTTTATGGGAATGGTTGGTTAAGTTTAGGCATGAATAGGTAGTTTATTATATTCACTTCTGCTTCCGTCCCGATTCCGTATATGATCTAGTGCCGACCGACTGTAGAGGAGCACGGACTGTAGAGGCGCAAGAGATAAACATTGCTGAACTATTTTCTCTGGACGCACGTTATGGCGGTACTGCAGCAGGTCAGCGCACATCATTTTGGAAATTTTTGAGCCGGGACCCGCCCACTCTGATTTCAACCTGTCACATTCGCCAATGCGGAAGTATCGTTTAATAATAAAACAAACTTATGGCGCACCTCCGTGAACACATACTGCTGTTGTATAAAGTCACCTCCGTGAACACATACTGCTGTTATATAAAGTTTGTGAAGCCCCATGATCCAAGATGGCGCCCTATTCAAATGAATGGCTTGTGCTCAGCAGTTCATGGGACTTCACGGAGACCGGGAGATTAGCTGAACTCGCCTATATTTGGGCATCGTCTGGTCCTCCTGGTTCTGCGCAGTCGACGAGCTCCCATGATGCATTGCGCCAAATACGCGTGTGTGGCTCTCATGCCCATGCACAGAGGGGCTCGGCCGCGCTCTGACCAATCAGAGCTGATCAGAGCAGTGGGAGAGCAGAGCCAGAGCGGGAAGGAAAGGAGCAGAGTTTGTGGCAGTAAAGTGTGGATTTAAAGAAAACCGAAGGATTTAAGAAGAAAAAAAGTTCAGGACGACAAGGGACACTAAAATCCCTACAAAATCTGATCTTTATGAAAGCTCTAGGTTCTCTGTCAGGTTCTCTGTAGGTTCTCTGTAGGTTCTCTGTTAGCTGAGGTCGAGCTGTTTTAGTTTACATTGAGTTCTATGGGACTTTTTTCTGGGTAGCCTACGTGAATTCAGTTTGCAGGACCACAGCGCCCCCTGTGCCCATGGGTGTGACAGCTGTAAGCTAATAATACCCTATCCAGTTATTATTATAGATCCATGACACAGAGACGCTGCAGCTACATTCACAGAGAAGAACTTTACACAAAAAGCCGCTAGCTTAACTCTGTTAGGATCAAAGTCCGCTAATTCCACCAGTTTGTTTCCCACCGCAGCAGGACTTCAGGTCTGGTCTGAACACCCCGAGCGTCTGAAATTTAGAGAATGTGCGTCCAGTGGAAACTGTGCTCCAGGGAGAGACCAGAGAGAGACCAGAGAGAAAGACCAGAGAGAGACCAGAGAGAGAGACCAGAGAGAGAGACCAGAGAGAGACCAGAGAGAGAGACCAGAGAGAGACCAGAGAGAGAGACCAGAGAGAGACCAGAGAGAGACCAGAGACAGACCAGAGAGACAGACCAGAGAGAGACCAGAGAGACAGACCAGAGAGAGACCAGAGACAGACCAGAGAGAGAGACCAGAAACAGACCAGAGAGAGAGACCAGAGATATACCAGAGAGAGAGAGACCAGAGACAGACCAGAGAGAGACCAGAGAGAGACCAGAGAGAGACCAGAGAGAGACCAGAGAGAGACCAGAGACAGACCAGAGAGAGAGACCAGAGAGACAGACCAGAGAGAGATCAGAGAGACAGACCAGAGAGAGACCAGAGAGACAGACCAGAGAGAGACCAGAGAGATACCACAGAGAGAGACCAGAGAGATACCAGAGATACCAGAGAGGGAGACTAGAGAGAGAGAGAGACCAGAGAGAGATACTAGAGAGACACCAGAAAGAGAGACCAGAGAGAGACTAGAGAGAGGGTGAGGGACCAGAGAGAGACCAGAGAGAGACATGTTTGTGCCAGAAATTCCTGATAAGTGAGGATGGATCTTAAACCAACTCCAGGTCTGTGAGAAAGAGAGAATGTCTCCTTAAAGATGCAGTGTGTGTTGCAGCTGAGGCGGTGGTCTGCCGGGTCTCCGCGGAATGCTCCCTGCCGTGCCCCTTCGACCCAGGCTCGGACGTGCTGATCCACTGGCTGAAGCCCCCGGAGGACCCCAGTTATCCCGTTCACTCCTTCTACAACAGCCATGACCAGCTGAGCCGCCAGAAAGAGCGCTTCAGGGGCCGCACGAAGCTCGATCCACAGCAGCTCCCACACGGAGACGCCACGCTGCACATCTCCGGCATCGTACCTGACGACGCTGGAAAATACAAGTGCTACGCCTCCACCACTAGGGGCAGCGGCGAGCAGATCGTGTCTGTGGACGTGCAAGGTACTACTCAGCGGGGAATGTACTTTACTAACACTCTGTTATGGGATTAATGCGCATAATAAGCATGAATATATAGTAATCTTCTTTCAGTCACAGATAAGGTCCATGTAAAACAATAGAAACACACAATAAGAAAGTATAAACAGACAACATACACAACACTGGCCCCAGGTTTATCACAGCGGCCAGTGTTTGAAGGATTTAAACATACACTTTTTAATCACCTGAACTCATGACTGCTGAAGTGCAGACTAGAAGACCAGAGAGAGAGACCAGAGAAACCTGAGAGAGACAAGAGAGACCAGAGAGAGACCAGAGAGAGACCAGATAGTGAGACCAGAGAGAGACCAGAGAGAGACCAGAGAGAGACCAGAGAAAGATCAGAGAGAGACCAGAGAGAGAGACCAGAGAAAGATCAGAGAGAGACCAGAGAGAGAACAGAGAGAGAACAGAGAAAGACCAGAGAGAGACCAGAGAGAGACCAGAGAAAGACCAGAGAGAGACCAGAGAAAGACCAGAGAGAGACCAGAGAGAGAGACCAGAGAGAGACCAGAGAGAGACCAGAGAAATACCAGAGAGAGACCAGAGAGAGACCAGAGAGAGCCCAGAGAGAGACCGGAGAGAGCCCAGAGAGAGACCGGAGAAAGACCAGAGGGAGACCAGAGAGAGTTTTCATGTTTTGCTGATCTTGTAGCTGAGCCAGTGTTAGTGTTGTGTGTTATTGTAGGGGGAGGGAGGCCCCTGATATGGGGGTCTCTCTCTTCTCGTCTGTTTGCAGGTTTCTCCCACATTCCTCGGCTCGTGTACAGCTGCCTCATGTGCTCTGTTGTTCACTGCTGTCAACAATAACACGTCCATCCCAAGAACATGATTAGAGTAAAGTCCAGGCGGTGGTGAGGGTTTTACAGCCTGAAACAAACTGCTGCTACTTCAAGGAGTTACCGCATCACCCCCGCGATAAACCAGGGACCAGTGTAAACCACATCCATGAACTAGGACTAAAACAGGACTAAACTTGGACTAAACGTTGTCTGGGACTGATCAAAGTCTGATCCAAGTCTGCACATAGTTTCCAAACTGGCGCTGATACCATTGAAGTTTTTATCTAATCTGCTTTGAGTCTGAAGTTCACTGAATATTACACACTCTGAAACTCTACATGCAGAGTGTCAGCGCAGGTTTCCTCCAGGTGCTGCAGTTTCCCCTACCAGGTTGTATCTCTTACGTATAGTGTCTCGGATAAATACTGTTTTTACTGTTTGCTAAAGTTATTCTGCTCTGGGCTGTGGGTCTATTTCATTTCAAGCTGAGGCACCGAAAACTAACGATAGAAGGTTTTAGATCCATAACTATAATCATGGGTTCATCAGAGTTCTATTGTTTTAGATCCATAACTATAATCATGGGTTCATCAGAGTTCTATTGTTTTAGATCCATAACTATAATCATGGGTTCATCAGAGTTCTATTGTTTTAGATCCATAACTATAATCATGGGATCCAACGTGGGATTTATGAACGTGTGAGATCCGCCCAGATCTGAGCGTGCGGCGCCGCGGCTGTATTTCTGAAAGTCACGCCTATAACTGTGCAGCAAGCGCCTGTTTTACGCCTGTGTTTACGACAGGTTCATCACAGAGTTCTATTGTTTAGAACGAGGAGGTTTGAGAATTAGAAAATGGACAACAACACGTGCACAGAATGTTTAGGCTCAGGTTTAGTTTTTTTCTGCACAAATAGATAGATAGATAGATAGATAGACCTTTATTGTCCCCTGAGGGAAATTCATTTTCACAGGCACTGTCACATACAGGTTACAATAAACACAAAAGACACCGAAGGGAGGGAAACACATACAACGCAGGAACAAGGGCAACATTACAGACTATTTAGAGCTGCTATCGCTGAAGGGACAAAACTTTTACTAAATCTTGCCCTCTTCCATCTTAGAGTTCTGTATCTGCGTCCTGAGGGCAGCAGAGTGAAGTGGGTGTGGAGGGGATGGTCTGGGTCAGTGCTTACTGTCCGGGCCATGCGTGTTACTGCTGTGAGGTTGAGCTGAGAGAGGTCTGCGGTGGGGAGACTGATGATTTTGGATGCTGTGTGTGTGACTTTAGTGAGTTTGTTTCTGTTGGTGATGGAGAGCATGTTAAAGTAACAGGGAGAGCAGTAGAGGAGAATAGGTTGAATGATTGAAGAGTAGAGTTTCAGAAGCAGATTTGGAGAGACAGAGAGGGCACGGAGCTTACGAAGGATGTAGAGTCTTTGTTGGGAACGTTTATGGATATCTGTGACATGTTGTTCAAAGGTGAGTTTATTGTCGAGTGTGAGTCCAAGGTATTTGAAGTGATTAACCCGTTCTATTGTTTTGTTGTGTATGAGAGTGGGAGGCAGGTCTGGGGTGTGTGAATGGGAGTGGAAAATTAGTTCCTTGGTTTTGTCCGTGTTCAGTTCCAGAGAGTTTTCAGAACACCACTCTGTGAAAACAAATAAGTCTGAAAACAAAACCTGTGTGTCTGAGGACAAACATTCAGACCAATGAAAACACGTCTCTGATAATAATACATTTTCTTTCTTAAATACAAGTAAAACAGTGCATTTCAAAAACAGTTAAAATACAAAGTTAAAAGCATCATGGACAGAGGAGTGAGTTCAGTACCAGTGAGTTCAGTACCAGTGTGTTCAGTACCAGTGTGTTCAGTACCAGTGTGTTCAGTACCAGTGTGTTCAGTACCAGTGTGTTCAGTACCAGTGTGTTCAGTACCAGTGTGTTCAGTACCAGTGAGTTCAGTACCAGTGTGTTCAGTACCAGTGTGTTCAGTACCAGTGTGTTCAGTACCAGTGAGTTCAGTACCAGTGAGTTCAGTACCAGTGAGTTCAGTACCAGTGTGTTTAGTACCAGTGAGTTCAGTACCAGTGTGTTCAGTACCAGTGTGTTCAGTACCAGTGAGTTCACTACCAGTGAGTTCAGTACCAGTGAGTTCAGTACCAGTGAGTTCAGTACCAGTGAGTTCAGTACCAGTGTGTTCAGTACCAGTGAGTTCAGTACCAGTGTGTTCAGTACCAGTGTGTTCAGTACCAGTGAGTTCAGTACCAGTGTGTTCAGTACCAGTGTGTTCAGTACCAGTGTGTTCAGTACCAGTGTGTTCAGTACCAGTGTGTTCAGTACCAGTGAGTTCAGTACCAGTGTGTTCAGTACCAGTGTGTTCAGTACCAGTGAGTTCAGTACCAGTGTGTTCAGTACCAGTGTGTTCAGTACCAGTGAGTTCAGTACCAGTGTGTTCAGTACCAGTGAGTTCAGTACCAGTGTGTTCAGTACCAGTATGTTCAGTACCAGTGTGTTCAGTACCAGTGTGTTCAGTACCAGTGTGTTCAGTACCAGTGTGTTCAGTACCAGTGTGTGTTCAGTACCAGTGTGTTCAGTACCAGTGTGTTCAGTACCAGTGAGTTCAGTACCAGTGTGTTCAGTACCAGTGTGTTCAGTACCAGTGTGTGTTCAGTACCAGTGAGTTCAGTACCAGTGTGTTCAGTACCAGTGAGTTCAGTACCAGTGAGTTCAGTACCAGTGTGTTCAGTACCAGTGTGTTCAGTACCAGTGTGTTCAGTACCAGTGAGTTCAGTACCAGTGTGTTCAGTACCAGTGAGTTCAGTACCAGTGTGTTCAGTACCAGTGAGTTCAGTACCACTGTTCAGTACCAGTGTGTTCAGTACCAGTGAGTTCAGTACCAGTGTGTTCAGTACCAGTGAGTTCAGTACCAGTGTGTTCAGTACCAGTGAGTTCAGTACCAGTGTGTTCAGTACCAGTGTGTTCAGTACCAGTGTGTACTCACTCTTGTCTCACTCTGGTCTTGTCTCACTCCCCGTCTCTGTGCTCAGCTCCTGTCAGTCACGTTGCCATGGAGACAGATGGGTCCACTCTGAGGTGTGTGTCCAACAGCATCGTCCCCAAACCCTCTGTGTCCTGGACTGAGCAGAACCAGACTGAGCAGGACCAGGCTGAGCAGAACCATACTGAGGTGTATTCTGAGGAGGGCGGGGTGTGGGGCGTGGTCAGCTCGGTGCCTCTGCCTCTCTCTTCTTCGTATAAACTCAGCTGCAACGTGAGCACGGCCCACAGCTGGAGGAGCGCCACCTACAGGAGACGAGGTGAGACTGCAGCTGCAGATCCATGTGTTAGATTTGATTCTCACTGGATCCTGTTTGTCTCAGATCCAGTCTGGTCTCGACCAGGGACTGGTCCTCAGACTCTCTTTTGTCTGGACTCTCTCAGCCCCCACCACACACTACTGTGGACCTTTAACCAGAGTCAGACCATCCTGAACTGGACTGGAGCGGACCCGGACTTTGGTGGGGACTGGAGCAGCAGAGTGCAGCTGGGACCGGGTTCAAACCTGGTCTTGAAAGGTCCGAACTGGGAGAAAGGACTTTACTCCTGTATCGTCACCACAGACCGAGAGACTCATGTGGTCAGCACCGAAGTGTTTTTGGGAGAACCACAATCAGCAGGTAAGAAGTCCGACCTGAGTCTGACCCAAGTCTGACCCAGGTCTCACCCAGGTCTGCCCCAGGTATCACCCAGGTCCCACCCAGGTCTGCCCCAGGTCTCACCCAGTCTGAAGCAAGTCTGAACCAGGACTGAACCATGACTGACAAATGCCCAACTGTTTTTGTGTCCTTGGGCAAGACACTTTGGCCAAGAGCCTCCACACACCAGAGACCTGCTCAGAGTGTGGTGTGTGAGCGGCTGATGGTGGAGGTTGTTCTGAATTATATTTTGGTCAGAAAAGAAATGGTTAAATGTTTCTTCAATATAATCTGAGGGATTCCTTTGTGTTTTAGGGAACACTGGTACTGTGGCGGTGGCGGTGGTGGTGACGGTGCTGGTGGTGCTGCTGGCGGTTGTGGTTGGGGTTTTATTATGGAAACATAAAAAATCCCAGGTGAGAAAAATATGTTCATAATACTGTTTATTTCAGTTTGTAACACAAAAGTTGAACAGGTCATAATCTCACTGGACCTCATTTATGAAACGTAGGCAGAAAACGTTTAATATTTTTGGAGTAGATTCCAAATACGCAAAATCCAACGTGGGATTTATGAGCGTTTGAGATCCGCCCAGATCTGATCGTACGCAGCCGCGAGTGTCGATGAATCCCGCTCTGAATATGAACGTATTTATGAAAGTCACGCCTATAACTGTGCAGCAAGCGCCTGTTTCACGCCTGTGTTTACGAGAGGTCAGCAGGAAGTCGGCAGAAGACTGTTTGGAAGCCTCAAAAGGCCTCAGGCACCTTATTTTGTTCATGTTTGTTTCAAAATATATACTCTACATTCAGCTGCGTTTCCTTTGAACAGATTTGCACAACTTTTTTGATACATTTCAAAAATCTCTCTTGAACTGTAGAAGTAAATAAGTAAATAAATAATGAATGAATGAATGAGTTCATGAATATAATTATCTGGGCCTCAGCGGTGGCTCTCTTCATTATGAAGCGTCTGCAGCATCTTCTTGTGAATGCAATGGAGCGATCTCTGTGAGAGAGAGGAAGCTTTTGGGAGGTTGTGGTCGATGATTTCACAGAGAAACTCTGGATCCAAAACTTCTGAATGACGCGCAGCACATTTAGAGTTATGCGGCGGGACCTACAGCACCCGCTGCACACTGCCCAGAGATAAGCGTGTTACCATCCTGTCTATAAACTGTGGAACCCTAACGTGTGTGTGTCTGTGTGTGTGTGTGTGTCTGTGTGTGTGTCTGTGTGTGTCTGTGTGTGTCTGTGTCTGTGTGTGTCTGTGTCTGTGTGTGTGTCTGTGTGTGTGTGTGTGTGTGTGTGTGTCTCTGTGTGTGTGTGTCTGTGTGTCTGTGTGTCTGTCAGTGTGTGTGTGAGGCTTTCACAAAACGAATGTAAAAGAACATTGCTTTACCAGAGGTGAATGAGGCAAAACAAAAAGCCGTGCGTAAGTACACAGCTCAGGGCCTGCCACAGATTTACAGACTATAGATGGTCACACATCCTGCAGCGTAAGTTATTAAGTAAGTCAAGTTTATTTGTTTAGCGCCTTTCACAGTCCAGGATCACAAAGCACTTCACATTTAAAAACATACAAAAGTCAGATTTAAAAACAAAGAAACAGAAGAGGGTCCTCATCATAAACTGTGATTTATTCGAAGTTTGCGTTTTTCCATTAGACTTTTTCTTTTGTGCAAATTCATAATTAGAAATGTGATGCTCAATGAAAACGCAGCTTATAATTTATAATTTTTCCAGAGTGGGAACATGTTTATTGTTGTCCAAATCAGGCATTTCATTCGTGTTTTGGCGTGTTGTGATGAAGGTTGAGCTGAGCGTACACAATACACTTTGGTGTATATTCTGTGCGTACCGTACGCTCACGTCCAGAATGATAAATGCAGAAAAGTGTACATTTTTTGCCTACGCCTCATTTACACCAGATTTGGCCGTACGCAAGTTTCATAAATGAGGGCCACTGTGAGAAAGAAGAAACGTGGTAGAATAAGATCATAGACTGTTTTCTATATGTACCAAATATACTTTTTCAGAATCCAAATGGCATAAAGGTAAACTACATTTTTCACTCTCTCCACATCTTCATTGTTCACTAAATCTTTGGGACTAGACTGCCCCATGTGATTCAGTGTGATTCTAATCCTCATGTTTTATTGTGTTCATCATAAAAGGGCGTGCTTTAAAGACCTGCAGTGATGACAACGCAGAAGTAAAAGAACCAATGAACAGAGTCACTATGCCCAGACAAGCTCCAGGGTCCTGACCCCAACACCACTCTCTGCACTTTCTCCTTCACTATCAGCTTTTCAGAGCTGTGTGTTTGATGGGACTGAACCACAGCGAGCTTCTGCTTCATCACGCCTCCTCTGCATTCAGCAAACACTGTCTGTGATGTCACACTCTGTCAGTCCTGATGGACGCTCTATGATTATGAGGCATCGAACTACTTGAAATTGAACGTGTGTAACATGTGCCTGACGTGTAAACATCAAAGTGTCAGAGTGTGGAACAAACCTGTGGATCAAACCCAGAACATTAAGATAAACTCTAATAACAACAAAGAAGTATTGAAGAAATATGTGAAGGAAAGAGAGATAGGGACCAATGAACTCTCACTCTCCCCTGGTTCTGCTCTCTCCTGGTCCTGCTCTCTCCTGGTCCTGTTCTCCCCTGGTCCTGTTCTCCCCTGGTCCTGCTCTCCCCTGGTCCTGCCCTCCCCTGGTCCTGCCCTCCCCTGGTCCTGTTCTCCCCTGGTCCTGTTCTCCCCTGGTCCTGTTCTCCCCTGGTCCTGTTCTCCCCTGGTCCTGCTCTCCCCTGGTCCTGTTCTCCCCTGGTCCTGTTCTCCCCTGGTCCTGTTCTCCCCTGGTCCTGCTCTCCCCTGGTCCTGCTCTCCCCTGGTCCTGCTCTCCCCTGGTCCTGCTCTCCCCTGGTCCTGCTCTCTCCTGGTCCTGCTCTCTCCTGGTCCTGCTCTCTCCTGGTCCTGCTCTCCCCTGGTCCTGTTCTCCCCTGGTCCTGCTCTTCCCTGGTACTGCACAAACAGACTCTTTAGACTAATGGACACATGGTCCATTAGAGTCCAGATGGTTGTAATGAAGAATGTTTTATATTTTTGTAAGGTGCTGTGATTATTATTTATTTATGGTGTTTCTGTCTTGCTTTGTTTAGCACTTTGAGATTATGTATAAACTGTGCCATACAATTAAACATGCCTTGCCTTATTGTTTTTTTCAATCAGCAGTATGAGTAGTAGTAGCAATAGTAGTATTGTTTTGAAGAGGTTGACCAAAGGATAGGGTGGTCCCTTTTTGCAGATGATAGAAGAAGAAGAAGAAGGAGAAGGAGAAGAAGGTCATTTTTATGGGGTTTTAAATTCTCAGTGGAAAAAAAAAAGTAACGGTTACTTGGAAAAGGAAAGCTGAGGCAAATATTAAACTGGACAAGCCATAGAGCAGGTTAGAGTTTACATTTTCAGGAATGTGGATGGATGTGGGGTTGACATGGAGGATGCATGTTGAGTGTATGGAGAAAAAAAGTAAGAAAATTATAAATGTCATGAGGTGTCTGACTGGAGAGGAATGGGGGCTAGTTAAAGAAGATTTATGTAGCTCTGGTGAGAGCAGTGTTAGACTATGGAAGTGGAGTTTATGGGACAGTCGTAACAAGTGTGATGGGATGACTCCGGACAGTGCAGGCTAGTGCATTGAGGTTGTGGGGCATTTAGGACTACCCCAGTATCGGCCCTTCAGGTAGAGGTGGGAGAGATGCCGTTGCATTTGAGGAGGAAGCAATTGGCTTTACAGTACTGGGTGAATTTAAAAGGGCACACAGAGGAGCGTCATCCAGCGGTGAAAACACTAGAGCCCTGCTGGGAAAGAGAGATGACAAAGCGGGATAGTTTAGCATGAAAAAGTCAGCGAATGGCACATCAGAATCAGAATCAGAAACGATTTGCTATGACAGCACCATTGACTGCTGCTCCTCCATGGGTGTTCCCGGCAGTCTTGGTGGATCTAAGCTTTCTGGGGAAGTTTCAAAGTAATGTTGGAGGTATTGAAAAATTGGTACAAGATAGACTTGAAACAGTGTATAGGGAATACACAGCAATATATACGGACGGATCGAAGGAACCTGAGACAGGAAGTGCGGCCTTTGCTTTTGTTATCCCAGATCTAAAAGTAGTTTTTAGAAGGAGAGTTACAGATAACTTGGCAGTGTTTACGACGGAAATGTTAGCAATTTCATCAGCTTTAGAGTGGGTGGAAGGATTGCCAGTGAAAGAAGTAGTGATATGCTCTGATTCAAGCTCTGCATTAGTAGCTATACAGAATTTTAAATCTGATAGTAGACAGGATATAGCAAAGGAAGGTTTCTCACCCATCATCTGTACTTCTTAGCAAGTTTTCCCGACGTTTCGTCCTCAACCTGGGGACTTCTTCAGGGAATGAATTCTCGGACCGCGCGTTGGAGATTTATAACCTATGGGTGTGGTTAGCCACACCCTAATCCTGATACTAACTCGTAAACAATCTCAGGTCTGCTTGATGTAAAAGGGAGCAGGTCTAACGACCCTGCTGACGCTAACGACCCTAACTCATTAGCATGTCACAGACCTATTGTCTGCTGGGATGCTCAAGTGGAGTGCAGGTCTCACCCCTCCTAACTCATTAGCATGTCACTGACCTTGTCCCAAGTTAGGGCGTTGTTTTTAGGATGTCGTCATAGATGCGAGGCAAAACAAATCTTAACCCTCCTCCTCTGTTAAGAGAAGGTTTTTGTTTCCTCACAAAAATGGCTTCTTTCACCCCTCTCTCAAACCAATTCTTCTCCCGAGCCAGAATTTTAACCTCTGTGTCATCCACCGTGTGGTTGGAGGCCTTGAGGTGGAGATGAACAGCCGACTGTGGCCCACTAGAGTTTTCTCTACGATGTTGGTAAAGTCGTTTCTGTAGAGTTTGTTTGGTTTCTCCAATATAGTGGTCAGTGCACTCCTCTTCACTACATTTAATTGAATACACCACATTGCTCTGTTTGTGTCTGGGTGTTTTGTCTTTGGGATGCACTAATTTCTGTCTTAACGTGTTGAAAGGTTTGAAATACACAGGGATTTTGTGTTGCCTAAAGATTCTTTGTAGTTTCTCTGAAACTCCCGCCACATACGGTAAGGACACCCCTCTTCTCCTACTTTCTTCTGTCTGTTGGACTGTGTCTCTGGCCTTTCTCGTCCTTTGGGCTTTAGTAAAAGACCACTTGGGGTAGCCACATCTGGAAAGTGCTCTCTGAACATGTTTGGTTTCTCTGTTCTTTCCCTCCGAGCTAGTGGGGACCTGGTGGGCTCGGTGTTGAAGCGTTCTAATGACCCCGAGTTTGTGTTGTAGCGGATGATTTGAATCAAAGGCCAGGTACTGGTCAGTGTGAGTGGACTTTCTGAAGACCTCAGTCTCTAATTGTCCGTTCTCCAGTATGATGACCTTACAATCTAGAAAGGCGAGTTCACTCTCCTTAGCATCCTCGCGAGTGAAATTTATAAAAGGGTCCACCGAGTTAATGTGTGCTGAAAATGGTTCCACTTCCTGTTTCTTTAACTTAACCCATGTATCGTCTACATATCGAAACCAATGGCTTGGCGCTGTCCCTTGGTAAGAGCCCAGGGCTTGTTCCTCCAGTTTCTCCATATACAGATTGGCCACTATAGGAGAGACTGGGGAGCCCATCGCACAGCCATGAATCTGTCTAAAGAAGGTGCCTCTAAATTGGAAATACGTGGTGTTAAGACACATTTCAAGTATTTCACAGATGTGGTCAGCTGTTAGTTTCGTTCTCTCCCCTAGTGTGGCGTCTTTCTGTAGGCTTTCTCTTACAGCCTCCACCGCCTCTGTAATAGGGACCGACGTAAAAAGCGATGTCACATCAAACGAGACCATTGTCTCATCTGTGTCAAACTGGAGGTGTTTGATTTTATTTACAAATTCTTTTGTGTTTTCTATGTGATGGTGGGTGTTACCCACCAACGGAGCCAGAATGGTTTTGAGGTGTTTAGCCAGGTTGTAGGTGATAGAGTCTATGCTACATGTATGTAGCATGTATGTAGCATAGACTCTATCACACCTACAACCTGGCTAAACACCTCAAAACCATTCTGGCTCCGTTGGTGGGTAACACCCACCATCACATAGAAAACACAAAAGAATTTGTAAATAAAATCAAACACCTCCAGTTTGACACAGATGAGACAATGGTCTCGTTTGATGTGACATCGCTTTTTACGTCGGTCCCTATTACAGAGGCGGTGGAGGCTGTAAGAGAAAGCCTACAGAAAGACGCCACACTAGGGGAGAGAACGAAACTAACAGCTGACCACATCTGTGAAATACTTGAAATGTGTCTTAACACCACGTATTTCCAATTTAGAGGCACCTTCTTTAGACAGATTCATGGCTGTGCGATGGGCTCCCCAGTCTCTCCTATAGTGGCCAATCTGTATATGGAGAAACTGGAGGAACAAGCCCTGGGCTCTTACCAAGGGACAGCGCCAAGCCATTGGTTTCGATATGTAGACGATACATGGGTTAAGTTAAAGAAACAGGAAGTGGAACCATTTTCAGCACACATTAACTCGGTGGACCCTTTTATAAATTTCACTCGCGAGGATGCTAAGGAGAGTGAACTCGCCTTTCTAGATTGTAAGGTCATCATACTGGAGAACGGACAATTAGAGACTGAGGTCTTCAGAAAGTCCACTCACACTGACCAGTACCTGGCCTTTGATTCAAATCATCCGCTACAACACAAACTCGGGGTCATTAGAACGCTTCAACACCGAGCCCACCAGGTCCCCACTAGCTCGGAGGGAAAGAACAGAGAAACCAAACATGTTCAGAGAGCACTTTCCAGATGTGGCTACCCTAAGTGGTCTTTTACTAAAGCCCAAAGGACGAGAAAGGCCAGAGACACAGTCCAACAGACAGAAGAAAGTAGGAGAAGAGGGGTGTCCTTACCGTATGTGGCGGGAGTTTCAGAGAAACTACAAAGAATCTTTAGGCAACACAAAATCCCTGTGTATTTCAAACCTTTCAACACGTTAAGACAGAAATTAGTGCATCCCAAAGACAAAACACCCAGACACAAACAGAGCAATGTGGTGTATTCAATTAAATGTAGTGAAGAGGAGTGCACTGACCACTAT